TATGGGTAAACCCTCAAATTTAGTCATTGTAATTTAAGGTATTTATAAATTAGTCCTTAAGTTTCAACTATAAATACCCTAGCTCATTTAGCTTCAAAAATCATCCCAAAGCATTCTAGCTTTCTTCCAATACTAGAGAGAATTTAGAGAGTTTCTTGAGAGTTATTTTCTCATTTTTATCAAGAGAGAATTATCATTGTTTTCTCCTTGGTAGATCGAGAGAGGTTGTAATTCCTATTTTCTCATAGTGAAATTCTTCTACTGTTGCCCGTGGTTTTTACCCTAATAATTTTAGGGGTTTTCCACGTAAATTTTGTGTCTCTTTTATCTTTATTTTTTATTTTCTCAAATTATCAGTTGCGATTTTGCTCTATCCGATAGCCGTCTTTCGCAACAATTGGTATCCGAGCCAGATTTGAGTGTGTAATATCTGCTTATTGTCTTTGTGGTTGCCACCAAAAGGTGGATCCTCTAACATAAGAAAATAAGAAGGTATTACCCATTCTTTTAGGTTCTAGAGAACTATTCACGATAGTGAAATAGTGGGAGCTATCCGAAATAGAAGTTATGACAACGAAATTTGATATTGAAAAGTTCAATGGGAGAAATTTCTCATTGTGGAAATTAAAGATGAAGGCTATCCTGAGGAAAGACGGGTGTCTAGCGGCTATCAGTGAAAGGCCGGTGGATTTCGCAGATGATAACAAATGGAACGAGATGGGCGGGAATGCTATGGCAGACTTTCATCTAGCATTAGCAGATGAAGTATTGTCAAGCATCGAAGAGAAGAAGACAACTAAGGAGATATGGGATCATCTCACAAAACTGTACGAGGCCATATCGTTGCACAATAAAATTTTCCTTAAGAGGAAATTGTACACTCTCCGTATGCCAGAATCTACTTCAGTGACGGAGCACTTAAATACACTGAACACCTTATTTTCTCAGCTTACATCCTTAAGCTGTAAAATAGGAGAACAAGAACGTGCTGAACTTCTACTTCAAAGTCTACCGGATTCGTATGATCAACTCATCATCAACTTGACAAACAATAATGTCACTAGTCTAGTCTTCGATGACGTTGCAGCTACTGTTCTACAAGAAGAAAATCGGCACAAGAACAAGGAAGACAGACAAGTAAATCTGCAACAAGCAGAAGCTTTGACAACGGTGAGAGGGAGATCAACAGAATGTGGCCAAAGCAGCAGTCATAAACATGGTAGATCGAAGTCAAGAAGCAAAAAGAATTTAAAGTGCTACCATTGTGGAAAGAAGGGTCACTTGAAGAAGGATTGTTGGAGTCTAAATAAAAACTCCAATCCACAAGGCAATACCGCAAACACTTCAGATGATGGAGATGCTCTATGCTGTGAAGCGTCAACCACCGTGGAAGGTAGAAAACGATTTGCAGATATATGGCTCATTGATTCGGGAGCAACATATCACATGACCTCAAGAAGAGAATGGTTCCATCATTATGAACCTGTCTCAGGAGGATCTGTGTATAGTTGCAATGATCATGCCTTAGAGATCATTGGTGTGGGAACCATCAAATTGAAGATGTATGATGGAACAATTAAAGTTGTTCGAGATGTGCGGCACGTGAAAGGCCTGAAGAAAAATTTATTATCCTACGGATTGTTGGATAATAATGCAAGTAAGATTGAAACACATAAAGGAATCATGAAGGTGTTCCGTGGAGCGCTTGTGGTGCTGAAAGGCGAAAAGATAGCAGCAAACTTGTACATGCTGAAGGGAGAGACTTTGCTAGAAGCAGAAGCCTCTGTTGCCTCATGTAGTTCAGATTCTGCAATGTTATGGCATCAGAAACTTGGACACATGTCAGAACAAGGAATGAAAGTTCTTGTGGAGCAAAAACTACTTCTAGGCTTAACAAAGGTAACACTTCCTTTGTGTGAGCATTGCGTAACAAGTAAGCAGCACCGGTTGAAATTCAACACATCAAATTCTAGAGCCAAAAGTGTTCTAGAATTGGTTCACTCTGATGTATGGCAAGCACCAGTTACATCCCTAGGCGGAGCAAAATACTTTGTCTCATTTATTGATGACTACTCCATGAGATGTTGGGTGTACCCTATTAAGAAGAAGTCAGATGTGTTTTCCACTTTCAAAAACTTCAAAGCGCGGGTGGAACTTGATTCTGGAAATAAGATCAAGTGTTTCAGAACAGATAATGGAGGAGAATACACAAGTGAAGAATTTGATGACTTTTGCAAGAAAGAATGCATCAAAAGACAGTTCATAGTGGCGAACACTCCTCAACAAAATGGAGTGGCAGAGCGGATGAACAGAACCTTGTTAGAAAGAACAAGAGCAATGTTGAGGGACGTAGACCTAGAAAAATCATTCTGGGCAGAAGCAGTCAATACCGCCTGTTATTTGTTGAATCGAGCTCCATCAATTGCAATAGAGCTGAAGACACCAATGGAGATGTGGACTGGTAAACCAGTTGATTATTTAAACCTCCATGTATTTGGAAGTATTGTGTACGTGATGTACAACGCCCAAGAAATTTCAAAGCTGGATCCAAAATCCAGGAAATACAAATTCTTGGGGTATGCTGATGGAGTAAAGGGGTATCGCTTGTGGGATTCCACTGCCCGCAAAGTGATTATTAGCAGGGATGTTATCTTTGTAGAAGATAAACTACAAAGAAAAGAAGACGATGATAGCGCTGAAAAGTCAGAGACTACTCAGATACATGTGGAAAAAGAGTTTGAAGAAGGAGATTCTTCTGAAGCAGAACCAGCACATGATGAACAAGAACCAGAGAGTTCTGAAGCTCCAACAACTCGTCAATCAGATCGTGTGAGAATACGTCCCAATTGGCACTCAGATTATGTTATAGAAGGTAATATTGCATAATGCCTTTTAACAGAGGACGGTGAGCCATCAACATACCAGGAGGAAATAAACAACTCAGATGCTTCACTGTGGATGATGGCGATGCAAGAAGAAATCGAAGCCCTTCATAAAAATAATACATGGGACCTTGTGCCACTACCACAAGGAAGGAGGCCAATTGGTAACAAATGGGTTTTCAAAATCAAGCGAAATGGTGACGATCAAGTGGAGAGGTATCGTGCAAGACTGGTGGTCAAAGGATATGCTCAGAAAGAAAGTATTGATTTCAATGAAATCTTTTCTCCTGTGGTTCGACTAACAACAGTTCGAGTAGTCTTGGCAATGTGTGCTACATTGAATTTACATTTGGAACAGCTAGATGTTAAAACAACTTTTCTTCATGGAAATCTTGAAGAAGAGATTTATATGCTCCAGCCTGAAGGTTTTGAAGAAGACGAAAAGAAGAACTTTGTTTGCAGGTTGAACAAATCTCTGTACGGTCTAAAGCAGGCGCCGAGGTGTTGGTATAAGAGATTTGATTCCTTCATTATGTGCCTTGGATACAACAGACTTAATGTTGACCCTTGTGCTTATTTCAAGAGGTCTGGTGATAACGATTTTGTTATATTGCTGTTGTATGTGGATGACATGTTGGTTGCAGGACCCAACAAAGATCATATTGAAGAATTGAAGGCACAACTGGCTAGGGAATTTGAAATGAAGGACTTGGGATCAGCAAACAAGATTCTAGGGATGCAAATTCACCGAGACAGAAGTAATAGGAAGATTTGGCTTTCACAAAAGAATTACTTGAAGAAGATCTTGTCACGATTCAACATGCAAGATTATAAGCCAATTTCTACCACTCTTCCTATTAACTTCAAATTATCCTCCAGTATGAGTCCTAGCAGTGAAGAAGAGAGGATGGAGATGTCTCGAGTATCGTATGCATCAGCAGTGGGAAGTTTAATGTTCGCTATGATATGCACAAGACCAGACATTGCACGAGCAGTGGGAGTGGTTAGTCGGTACATGGCGAATCCAGGCAAAGAGCATTGGAATACAGTAAAGAGGATCCTGAGATACATCAAAGGGACCTCAAATGTTGCATTATGTTACGGAAGATCAAACTTACTAATCAATGGGTATGTAGATTCTGACTATGTAGGGGATTTGGATAAAAGCAAATCTACAACAGGATATGTGTTCAAAGTTGCTGATGGAGCTGTAAGCTGGGTTTCTAAGTTACAGTCAGTTGTGGCTACATCCACAACAGAGGCAGAATATGTAGCAGCTACACAAGCCAGTAAAGAAGCAATTTGGTTGAAGATGCTATTGGAGGAACTTGGGCATAATCAAGAGTATGTATCTATGTTTTGTGACAGTCAAAGCGTCTTGCATCTAGCAAGGAATCCAGCATTTCATTCAAGGACAAATCACATACGAGTTCAATACCATTTCATTCGTGAAAAGGTGGAATAAGGGATGGTAGATGTGCAGAAGATCCATACCAAAGACAATATAGCAGATTTCATGACGAAGGTGATCAATGCTGATAAATTTACCTGGTGTCGATCCTCTTGTGGCCTGTCAGAAACGTAAGCAACGTGAAGGTACAAGGTAGAAAGAATGGTGTGAAGATATGATTGTTCCAATCAAATATTCAAATGGGAGATTGTTGAAAAAACAAATGCACCGAAAGTGCATTGGATTATTAGGCACCGAAAGTGGTGCAGTTTTTGTTGATTTTTAGGTATGGGTAAAACCTCAAATTTAGTCATTGTAATTTAAGGTATTTACAAATTTGTCCTTAAGTTTCAACTATAAATACCCTAGCTCATTTAGCTTCAAAAATCATCCCAAAGCATTCTAGCTTTCTTCCAATACTAGATAGAATTTAGAGAGTTTCTTGAGAGTTATTTTCTCATTTTTATCAAGAGAGAATTATCATTGTTTTCTCCTTGGTAGATCGAGAGATGTTGTAATTCCTATTTTCTCATAGTGAAATTCTTCTACTGTTGCCCATGGTTTTTACCATAATAATTTTAGGGGTTTTTCACGTAAATTTTGTGTCTCTTTTATCTTCATTTTTTATTTTTTCAAATTATCAGTTGCGATTTTGCTCTATCCGATAGTCGTCTTTCGCAACAAAGGATCCATACTCTTTTGTTTCAGCATCTGGTTATGACACCGCCTGGTTAGCCATGATTCCAATCCATTCCGACCCGACATGTTCCATGTTTAAGGAATGCCTGGAATGGGTGGCCAATAATCAGACTGAAGAAGGGTACTGGGGAGACTGCGTGGACGCCCATGGCGATCCCTCCATCGACTCTCTTCCAGCTACTCTGGCTTGCTTAATTGCACTCCACAGGTGGAATGTTGGAGCTAATAATATCAAGCGCGGTATTATTCTTTCTCTACTACGTAAATTTCTAAATTACATTCTTTGATTGATTTTAGTCATAATTTTTAGCAACTGTCAGGACTGGACTTTGTTCAAGAAAACTCTGAGAAAATCCTTGGAAAAACCTACGACGACCTTCCTCGCTGGTTTGCCATTGTTTTCCCGGGGATGATTGAACTTGCACGTGAAGCTGGGATCGAGCTTGCCTTCCCTTCCCAACTAAACGGCTTGTTGTTCGACATTTTCCACAAACGGCAAAGCCTACTTGATGCGTAATTGCTCTCCATGTTTAATTAAATTTTTTCATGTCTTGAGATCTAACCAGTAGCTATATAATTATACGTGATACTTGTTGCAGCGAGGAACTTGTTGGCAATCAATATTATCCTCCATTGCTATCATATCTTGAAGCACTGCCTTCAACTTACGATATTTGTGAACAAGACATAACCATGAACTTGAGTGGTGATGGTTCATTGTTCAAATCTCCTGCTGCCACTGGTCGTGCTTTCATGGCTACCGGAAATGAAATGACTCTATCCTATCTGCAAATGGTTGTTGGAAGATGTGCTAACGGAGGTCAGCCAAATTAATCTTTCAACTTTTGTCCTGCATGTGCCTAGTTACCCCCAAAAGTTATGATTATTTTACAAAACAGCGATCTTGGACACTAATTAACTCTAAAAACACTCCTCAGCAAAAGGAGCATTAGTAGAAAGACAACAGGAAACATCAACCCAGATAAACAACCACCACTACGAACTCTAAACCACGCTTTAAACGTATTTTCTATCAATCCCTGATTTAGAAAGAGCATCAACAAGGGAAATGACCTCTCTATAAGCATGAAGAGACGAATCAGAATAAATCTCCTCAAGTCTGTCAATACACTCCTTACTTTGCATTTTATTTTTTAAGGATTTATATTTGGTTTATTCTAACCTATTAAAATAATTAAAATTAAAATTCAATTCATTTTAATTTACTTCCACTCCTATGACATCACATGGATCACGATTGCAAATAAATTATTATTTTAAAAAGAAAAAATATATTTTTTATGCAGTTCCACCAACTTTTCCCATGGATGAAGAGCTAATAAGGCTTTGTTTGGTCAATCAACTACAAAGATTGGGGTTAGCTGACCATTTTACACGTGAAATTGAAGACAATTTGGCCAAGATTTACTGGTTCGTGAGAAAATACATAGGTGTAACATTAATATTCTTCTAATAAAACCCTAATGGTCTCCCACGATTAATTAACATCCTAGCCTTTGATGTCGATCTATGATTATAACTTTCAGGAATTACAAAACTCAAGAGTCAACAAGAAAGTCAGGCAATAGTGCAGATGTGGCAATCCAGTTGCACAAAGATTCTTTAGCATTTCGACTACTCCGCATGCATGGTTTTACCATATCTCCTGGTACGATTCAATAAAAAAAAAACCTTCGTCTTGGTTTCTTTCATACCATATAATATAAATATGATTATATGTTTATGTTTTGCATAATATAAATATGATTATATGTTTATGTTTTGCATAGCAGGTCAATTATGTTGGTTCTTGAATAATGACAAAGTTCGAGCTCAAATCGAAGAAAATCAAGAATACTTCTCAATCACCATGTTCAATGTTTATAGAGCTACAGATCTTAAGTTTCCAGGAGAAGGTGAGCTCGAGGAGGCGAGATCATTTTCTAGGAAAGTGTTGGAGAAAATTGCCTTGAAAGATACTAGCTTTGGATGTACCGGGCTGAAGAAAATGGTAATCGAATCTGTCTCGCATCATATTGAAAAAGCTATATATAAAGAGACAATTAGTGGTATATTAATGTACCTAAAATTGATTTCCTTGTTTGTGAAATGTGTAATAGATGGAGCATGAACTGAGATTTCCATGGATCGCTCGACTGGATCGTCTGGACAATAGAGCATGGATCGAAGACAGCAATAATACCAACCTTTTGTGGGTAGGCAAGGCCTCCTCCCACAGGTATATATATAATATCAGCTTAGCTTGACATTAATAAAATGATTAAAAATCTTAACGAAATGCATCTTCAAGGTCAAATAATTAAACATCAATCCTTTTGGAAGCAGGTTGTCAACCCTGTTAAATAAGAAGCTACTGCAACTTGCTGTGGCGGAGTACGGGTTTCGACAGTTGATATACAGGAATGAGTTGGAGGAAGTGACACGGTGCATGTTCTTTTATATCATCATCATCAGAATACGAGATTTAGTATTTAATCTTAATTTTATAGAGAGAAAAAAACTAACCAGCTAAATAACTCTATATATAGGTGGTCCAAGAGCAGGGGTATGAGCGACATGGGATTTGGCCGAGAAAGAACTACGTACTGTTACTTTGCCATTGCTTCCAGCATCCCGTTGCAGTATGACTCTGAAGTTAGGATGATAATAACAAAAAGTGCTGTTGTGATAACCGTTGCCGATGATTTTTACGATACGGAAGCTTCTTTCTATGAATTGAACAGCCTCACTGATGCAATTGCAGGGTAAGTTTCAATCACAGAACTAACAGGCTAATTTTCAATCCACTGATATACAATTGAAACGCATTGCAGATGGGATGCTAAGGGATTGAGTGGTCACAGTAAGACCATCTTTAATGCCCTTGATGATCTCGTCACTGAAATTGTAGCTAAAGTTCTGCATCAGAAAGGAATAGATATCACATTTTTTCTTCAGCAGATTGTAAGTTTAAACAACAACTCGGCGGTTCACTAATTTTTTTCCCCTTGAAAAAAACTATATAACTTTTTGTTTTATTTGATATGAAGTGGTATGAAACGTTCAATTCATGGCTTGTGGAGGCGGAGGCAAAGTGGAGCATGGGTGGATTTGTTCCATCAACGGAAGAATACCTTGGAACCGGAATGGTATCCATTGCTCTGCACACCATTGTTCTTCCAGCTTCATATCTGTTGGATCCAAGCCCAACAGCCAGCAAAGTTAGGGCAGGGGAATACCAGACTGTTACCAAATTGTCAATGCTTATACCTCGTTTACTCAACGATATACAGAGCTATCAGATGAACATTATTGAATCTACCATACGTTCTTCCTTTATATATTTAATCAAGATCATTGCTAATAATTAACCGGGTAATGAAAGAAAGAACAAGAAGAGGGGAAAATGAACTATGTTTTACTGTACATGAGAGAGAACCCCGGAGCAGACATTGAAAATTCGACAACCTATGTTCGAGAAATACTTGAGAACAAGTGGGGAGAGTTTCTCCAAAATGTTCTGATGGATGATGGGTTGGGAGAATTGCCAAAAGCATCCAAGCTTCTCCACTTATCATGCGTTAAGGTGTTCCAGATGTTCTTCCATTCGAGCAACAGATATGATTCCAATACGGATATGCTTCAAGACATCCAAAAGGCAATATATATCCCTCTACATATTGGATCCAACTCAATGTGATGAGCTTTATTGAGATAGCAATCAACAATCAAACTCCCCCACTGGTCCATCTCCTTCCAAATATGAAATAGCCTACTTTTGATACATTTTAGTATATGAAGTATTATTTTTTATAAAATTATACTTAAAATTTAGTTTTTGGTTCATTTTAATATCCGTCTTTAAAAATTTAATGATAGAACTGACGTGACATTTTAATTATTTTTAAGTTTTAAATTATTATTTATATTAATATTTAATAAATTTTATTCAACTAATAAGTTGATGCCACGTGTCACCACCTTGCGAGAAACAAAATAAAATTAAAACTCTTAAAGAGAGTGCTCACTATGACCTAGGTCTCCTGGGTGGAAGGGAAGTGCTCAACCAACTAAGCTAGCATAGGTAACTAGATATACCAAAGTATATATTTAACTTAAATTAAACTATCATTATAAAATTAAATAAATTTGCTAGATCTATGATTCCAACCTAGAATATCTCATAAAATATTCAAGCATTTAATCACTAAATAAGATTAAGAATTAATTTAATACATACCAAAATTATTATTTAACATATAAAAATATTAAATTAAAATTAAATAATTTCTCATTTTAATTTAAAATAAAAATAATCAAATAATTATTTATATATTCTATAAGATCAATATTATTTTATTTTAAAAAGTACATGTATTGTATCATAAGTAATTTAAAATATATCTATTTAATTAATTTTTTTATTAAATTCTTTTATAAGTTAAATGATAATTTTGGTACGTTTTAAATTAATTCTTGATCTTATTTAGCAATAAAATGCTTGAATATTTTGTTAGATGTTCTAAGTTGGAATCATAGATCTAACAAATTGCTTTCATTTTATAATGATAGTTTGGTATAAGTTAAATATTTACTTTGACATATAGAACTAATTACATGTGCTAGCTCTTACAGACCATCCTTAGCTCTTACAGGCCTTAAATAGATCAAATCTAACCATCAAAAGTGAGTAGTATTGATACCCTACTTGCAGTATCGATACCCTACTTGCAGTATCGATACCCTACATGCAGTATCGATACCCGTATGAGCATCGATACCAAAAATGGCTTTTATTTCTGAAAATGTGGCTCAATATCGATACTCTATACCCTAAGTATCGATATTGTAGGGGAAATGTCGATACTCTCCCCAATAATATCAATACTCCCAGCTAAAAATATCTAATTTTCATCTCAATTCATCCAATATTGATATTGTTTCTCCAATATCGATACTCGAATCCAAAAATATCTTATTTAAGCTCGAGAAACATCAAAAAATCATTCCAATGCTTAGTTTAGTTCCTAATCATGCGCTAAAGATTTATAAAGTTACTTAGGGTTTTAAAGTGTCATAAAAGCACATGATTTACAATGAATTTGTCATATATGGCATGAATCAAGTATGAAACCTTAAAATGCTGAAATACCAAAATATTAACAAATCATCGTGCTTATGAAACCCTTAACATTCCAAAGAATAAAAAATACACTACATTGGTTAAAAATCTCAAAATGAAGCTCCTTTAGCTAGCAATCACCCTCCACCAAGACTTGGATGATAAAACCCCCCACTTTTCTTACAAACAAAGAACCCATAGCTTTGAATCATTAAAACGATGTTGCTGGTGGGATTATGAACGAAATTGAAGCATGAAAGATGTCCAAAAGCTTATCTTTGAGCTATGGAACTTGAAGAGGAAAATGGGAGAAGGAAAATGAGAATGAAGGAAGAAATGAAGAGAATAATGATATGAAATAGATAAAAAGCCTTCATCTTTTTGAAAAGGTGAAATTGCACATATAATCCTTTATCATCTTTCTACTACTCAAAAATCTCCTTTTATGGCTAATTGAGTCCAATTCTAACTCAATTAAGCCTAACAACTTAAATTATGAAATCTACGGGATCTACAAGCCTCTCGGATAACTCGAAACTACTAGCCGAAAAATTGAGGTGTTACACACATGTTGTCTTAAATAATGAAAATGGAAGTCTATGCCAAAATTCAAAAATATCGATCCTTTTACTTACGAGATTATATCGCAGTAAAATAAAACAAGAATGGTATAAAAAAGGTAAAAAAATAAAATTGAATCTAGTCTGCAAAAATAAAGAAACAAGGTCACGGGTACTATATAAAAAATATAAATCATACATAACATGATGAATTAATATAGAAATTATATAATTAATACAAATGGAATATAAAGGTAATACAAAACAAATAAATACAAAATATTTTTAATAAATGTTAACGACTAATGATTTAATTGACAATAATGAAATTATTAAATAATCTGATTAAAAATTGAAAGATCACTAATAAAATAAAATAAACAAATAATTAAGTAATTAATTGTATAGGCAACCTAAAAAGTAAAATAATAATCATATAATAAGTGAAGACTTTTAAATTTACACACGTGTCAAAATTTTAAACCATCTACCTAGAAAGATATTTCATAATTGTTTACAATTTTTATTATATAATATATGATTGAATTTAATTTATTTAAACAATACTTATGTTTTATCAAATTACATTTTTTTTTTGTCGGCTGTAAATGAGACGAGACAGATCACGAGTTATTTGAGATCGACTTGATTAAGGCTCGATAAATACTCAGATCAAATGGACTCGACTCAAGCTCGAGTTCGACTCGAGTTTTTAACGAGCCAAAATGAACTACTTGATATTAGACTCGAAAAGCTCGTGAGCAACTCGAAAATATAATATATTAAGATTTTATTTTTTAATAAATAAATTATTAATAACATTAATATTTATGTATTGATTTTTTTAAAATATAGTATGATTTCATGTATTTAAGGTTCGAGTTTGAGGTTTCAATCGAGTTAAGTTTACGATTTTTTTTCATTTTGAATCTTTTCGAGCTGCTCACAGGCTTCAGTTTAAGATTTCGAATTCGAGTCGAGCTTAAAAATTTTAACCTCGCGAGTTTTCGAATCAATTCGAGCTCTATTTCAGAATTTTCAAGTCGAGTCGAGCTTTATTTCAAAATTTTTAAATCGAGTTTAACTCAATAATATTCGAACTCGACTAGACTGATTTACACCCCTACATCGGATACAGCTTGCGTATACTTAAAACCTTTTGCGATTAAGATATTACGTATTAAGGGGCAAAAATAAAAGAGACAAAAACACGTGGAACAAGGCACGGATTGGACATGTGAGGCTGGGTTGCTATTTTTGTCAAGTCAACTAACTGCTGAATTGCATTTTTTTAGAATAAACTAAAATTAGTTTTTTTAATGAAATATACACACGTCACATAAATTTAAATATTTATTTTAAAAACCATTATTTTATGTTATATCATTATTTAGTTTTTTAATGAAATATACACACGGACATAAATTTAAATTTTATTTTTAATAAAAAAATGAAATAACTTATATAAAAAGTAAATATTTATTTTGATAAGAATAATTAAAATATTTATGAATAATAACTTAAATATTTATTTTAAAAAAATTATATATTTAAAGAAAACATAATTTACGTATTTTATTTTAAAGAAAAAACAAAAACTAAAGTTCATAGACATTTATTCTCATTCAATTTAATTTTTTTATTTAATTATTTGGTTGGTTGGTGAAGATCTTCGTCTTTATTTTATCATATTCTTTTAGGTTAGAACCTATTAGGAGCACCCCCTTCCTTTTTTGTAGAGTCCTCTTTTATCTTCTACAGGTAAAATTAGAATTAAATTAGAATTTTTTTTAAAAAAATAATTGACATTTGGGGTTTTTATCCATTGAAATGGCTCAATTCATACACTTAAATTGAGATTTTGACTAGAAATTAAACAAAAGTTAGTGAACTTCAATCAATAGCTTGATTCCCCAAAGCATAAATTAGAAGGTTCAATTTAATATAAAAAATATTATTTAACTTAATTTATAGTGTTTAATATTTAGCCTATGACCAATTCTACTCCAAACATTTTATAAAATATTTTAATTAATTTTCACAGATTTCCTATAAAAACATTAGAAGTAGATTAAGTGAATACTTGATGAATTGTACTATAATTAATCATAAAATGTTATATAATAACTTTTCTTTAAAAAATCAGGGTTACTAAAATATATAACCCAAAGATCAACCAACAAACCACGTTGTGAAGAATCCAAGATGGCCTACAAGGAAATGGGCTCCTCCCCACTAGCGCGTATTTTCTTGATCGAGTTTTTCATAAGGAAAATAGTGATAAGGTACAATTTGATAATGTCAACGTAAAACGCAGTCGTCCACCTGAAACACGTTGGGAGTGGTTTACGGGCGGTCCTCGGCAAATTAAGCAGCGGTGGAACTACTATAAATGGATGCCTCCAGCGGTTAAGATATTCGCACCATGCTACTATATTTACCTAACAAATTATAATTTAAGCTTTATTGATTATATTTTCTTTACATGGAGCTTTCAAAAGTTTCGATTGAAGCTTTAGTTAAATGATAAACGAAGAGATGATGTTATTGGACATCGATCCTATCTCTTTCGTTGCGCCGTCTGCTTATGACACTGCCTGGTTAGCCATGGTTCCTGCAGATTCGAAGCAGATGGAACCCATGTTCAAGGATTGCCTGGATTGGGTGGTCAATAACCAGACCAAAGAAGGGTTTTGGGAAAGTGACGCTCAAGGTAACTCTACCCTCGAGTCTTTGCCTGCTACTCTCGCCTGTGTTTTGTTCTCAACAAGTGGAATCTCGGGAGACAACATGCAGAGAAAGGTATCAAATCTTATTACGTTGGAAAGTGATGCACGTACTTGCTCTGAATTACCATTTACTATAATGTGTGTGTGTGTCCCAGGGTTGGCATTTATACGAGCAAACGCAGAGAAGCTGCTAGGAGGATACCGACGTCAGTTTCCTCGTTGGTTTGCCATTGTTTTCCCCGGAATGATTGAACTTGCACGTAAAACCGGCCTAGACCTTGACTTCCCC